AAACATTTGCAATCCCAGGACTTGGGAGGTGGAGGCAGGAGGAGGCGGAATTCAAGGTCATCCTCAGCTAAGTGGGGAGCTTGAAGCCACAAGAGCTAAATGATACATTGCCTTTAAAAAGGGAAAGGGGGGCTGGAGAGATGGCTCAGTGGTTAAGAGCACTAGCTGCTCTTGCAGAGGACCTGGGTTTGGTTCCCAACACCCATGTGGTGGCTAACAACCATCCATAACTCCAGTTTCAGGGGATTCAACACCCTCTTCTGACCCCCACAGGCACTGTACAATATGGATGCACTTATATCATGCAGGCAGTACACTCATACACATAAAATAAAAAAGATAAAGTTTTTTAAGTGCCTAGTATGGTAACTCATGCCTTTGAGGCCAGCCTGGTCTACATAGCAAGTGCCAGGCCAGCCAGTGCTACATAGTGAGACCCTTTTAAAAAATAAATAAGCCAGGCATGGTGGTGCATGCCTTTAATCCCAGCACACTGGAGGCAGAGGCAGGCGGATCTCTGTGAGTTCAAGGCCAGCCTGGTCTACATAGGGAGTTCCAGGCCAGCTGGGGCTATAGGAAGACCCTGTCTCAAAAATAACAAACAATAAATAAAACCTCCTGAAGGAGGATTTACAATGGAGAATGTAGTGCTATCCCTCCTTTCACTGCAATGATGGGTAAGAGCACTTCATTTACTAGGTGCAGAATCACCATGGAATAGGCCTCTCCTTACCTGCTGGGTTCCCTTGCACATCTGGGTCCTTTACAGTAGGCACACCTGGGCAGGACTTCATTCAGTCGCTCCTCTCTGCCTCCCTCTCTGCTGTCTCTTTCTGTAGTGAGCAAGGGAGGCTGTGCACCAACCAGCCCAGTGACACATTGGCAGGAGCACCTGAGCATTCAGTTTTCAATATGGGAATGTGTGTTCCTCGGGGCACCCCATGGGCATATAAAGGTGGTTTGCACAGATTAGCGAATTCTGATCCCATTCCTCTTCTGACCAGTGATCTTGGAATGCATTTCTCATTTTTCAGTCTTGGAGATTGAAAAGATGAATTCCAAGATTTAGGCACTTCAGGCTTCTAACACAGCATTCCTTGCCAGGATACCTGCTGGGTAGTTCTTGTAGGTTGACTAGGTTTATTGCTGCCTCACACGGAGCCCCTCAACCCTCAGACAAACTTGTGCATGTCTGCCCACCATGCTGTCTGCACAGCCAGAGTACAGCCATTGCCATCCTGTTTGGGATCGCCTGGCTCTCTCACACAACTCTGTCACTCTGCAACACCCTGGGTCTACCCTCTCCCCAACCTGACGCCTTGCATATTCATCAGTCATTGTTGATGGAATTCATGCATTCATCAAGACTTCCCACAATGCAGTCATTAAAAGGTTAATATTTGTTGTCAGTGCCCTACCTTCAAGTGCTAGGCCTCAGCTTGGATCATTTGGTGATTGGGCCAGGCTATTTTTTCACTGATTTGAATGTTACTCATGCCAGATTTCAAACAGTACCAGAAACTCTTATTCTATCTGTGGAGAACACAGGCCAGCAAAAGCCTGGACTACCTGAGATGCACTTGGAGGTGGAGTTCTTGGAGTTCTAACCCCAGAGCAGTGAGAGACTGGCCCCTTGCTTAGGCCATGACCACACAATCTCAGTTCTGGCTTCTCCTCTCCAGCCCTATACAGCACTGCCTCAGACCTGGTTCAGACTCCAGTCCCATCTGAGTGCTCCTGGCTTCAGATTCCATTTTCCACATGGCTCCCAGTGTAACTGTGCTGAGCTCCCTGCTGGCTAACCCAGATGGTGCCATGGTAGAAGATGTCAAGGAAGAACTTGTCCTGTATACCTGGGTCCAGATTTTTGTCTACCAGCTACATGACTGCAGATAAATTTGGGGATTCCAAAACCAAGATTGAAATACACTGTGGGACAGAGGAGATGGCTCAGTGGGTAAAGACCTTGCTGAGCAAGCATACAGACCAGAGGTCCCCAGAATCTACATAAAAGCCAGCCTATAACCCCAGGCCTCAGGGAGGCAGGGAGGCAGCAAGCTAGCTAGCCAGACTAGCCCAACACCAAGCTCCAGGTTTAATAAGAGACCCTGCCTCAAAGTATAAGGTGGAGAGGGATCAAGGAAGACACCATGTCAACCTCTGGCCTCCACACAAATACACATACAGAACAAAAGAAGTAAGGACATTGTTTTCATCATGGCATGGTCCCTTCAGCCCTGACCTCCTGTAATCTGTATAGTTCACCACAACGGCTTTTCTCCTCTGTTAGTGCAAAGCCTACCAGAACAAGGACTGTATGCCATCTTCCCATTACCTGGTTCTCAGTGGTAAATAAGTTTCTCCAGAGTTGAATGCAACCAAGTTCCAAAATATCAAAATATATTTAAAATGTCAAAGTGTTGAAAATGCAGTTGCTCCAGATGTTTTCACATCAGTGGAGTAAGAGCCAGATGGCTCTCCTCCTTAAATGAAAATCAGTAGCCCTGGAACTTTCAACTTGTCCCAACAACTGCAGTACAACACTAAAAGACGTGTATTCACTGTAACTAGATATTGTGGGCTAAGAAACCCAGCATTTTTTCACCTTACCTTGGCAGTTGGCAGAATGATTGACCAGGGCGACCCCGCCCAGCAAAGCACATGATCAGCCACAGCTGCGCATGTTTTTAAGCATGACTGCGCCAGGACAGAGTTCCAAGCCTCTGGGTGGAGCAATGTACCCCTGGGAGAAAGCTCATGACATTTCCCCTATGATTTCAGAAAAGAAGAAAGGAAGAAAAAAAGAACAGAAAACTTTTTTTTCTTTTGAGTTGTTTCTGCACAATGTCAACAGAAAATGTCCTTGTGTTTATGCATATAAACAACACATAAATGTGCAAAGAATAGGCCACAACTACAGCATGAACTGCATTTGACCTCAGAGTAAAAGTAAGGTACATACTGCTGCCTCGTCAGCCTTCCCTTGATACCTCTTCATAACAGAAGCTTCGTTTTAATTTGGGCTGATAGCAAATGGAGCTAGATGAGAATTCCCCAGTCCCTCTCAGAGAGGTAGGTTCCAGCCAGTTGAGATCAGAAGTACTCTGTGTAATTCCCAAATAGGATGTCCAAAAGAAGTTGACCCCATGAAAGGCAAGCTCCCTAAAACCTGGCTTCCTTCCTCTTTCCTTTCACAGAATGTCATCTGTTGGCCCAAGTACCACAAGCCAGTCTGAAACTTTGATGCCTTTGAGGATGGAAACCTCAGACCCAGGTGATGAGGCAGGCTGAGAAGGAAGGCTGGATGCCCCAGGACAACCCAAGACAGTTTCGGTCTGCTGCTGTCAAAGAAGTATCAGTTACACACACACACACACACACACAAAGGCTTTTGTTTAATTACACATTTTGCCACTGCTGTCAAAGAAGTATCAGTTACACACACACACACACACACACACACAAAGGCTTTTGTTTAATTACACATTTTGCCTTAAAAAGACTTTCTGTTAATATGCAGCCTATGAATCACATCCATCCAAAGCATGGAGAAAGGTTGCCATGTATAATAGAAAAAAAAGTTATAAATGCTCATGAATAGAGAAATAAGCCACTTGTAGAGCAACAGTGAAGAATACTATACAACAGTGCAAAGGGTGAAACACTCAGGGGTCCCAATATGTTTAATAATTCATACCCTGTCCCCATTAACATTTAAAACTCATTTCTGGAGATAAATTTGTATTTGTAAACATAGAAAATGTACATCGTATGCTAAGTATGTAGCATCCTTACTAGTGAGTGTGGAGAAATATGGAGTCAGCAATTAATTGTGTATTATTTTCAACTACGCCAAGATTTCATGTTTTATGTAATTTGAAATTTTCAAGAAATCAGATCAGCCACTTAAAGCTTGTGAAATTTTAAAACAATTCTAGCCAACATATTTTCTTTTTATTTCTGATAATGCTTACTAGTACAACGATGTTCAAAATTTTGTACTACAAGAAAATTAGCGTGATTCAACCTTGAAAAAGATTAGATTCAAAATATTAGAAGTCAGAAGGGAGAGTGAAGCTAAACAATAAAAAATTAATGGTTGTTGGGTTTAATCTGCGTGGGACAGGAAAGCAATGGGCCCTGAATTTATGGCCTTCAAAAAAGTTGCTCTCCCTGCCTTTAGTTTTTTAGCTGGCTGTTCTCGTGGGAAATTGCAAGAAAGCAAGAGTGAATGCCCACACCCTGAAATGGGCCTCCTCAGGGCCAAGGCACTTTCCAGAACTTTCAGCTCCCATTCATTTCACAGGCGGAAAACCGAGGGCCCGCGGACGCTGTTTGGCAGTTCCAGCAAGCCCTGAGGGAACTCTTAGACCGTTCTAGTGAGTGAGACAAAAAGGATGACCTCTGACGAAACCGGAAAAAAAAATACCAAAATGAAAAACCATAGCCCGGCAGGACCCAGCCAGGGTAGATAGCTTCGGTCACGCCAAGGGGAGGAGCCTGGCGGGCGGAGCAGGGCGAACGGGAGCCCTAGGGGCGGTGCCAGGCTAGAGGGGCGGGACCGATGGGGCGGAGCCCAGCGATGCGCGGAGCCAGGGGGCGGAGCCGGGTGAGGGGCGGTGCCAGGCGGGAGGGAGGAGCCCGAGAGGGTGGTGCAAGGCGAGAGAGGAGCAATCGGGAAGAGCTAGACAAGGGGAGGGCCTAAGGGGCGGAGCCAGGTGAGGGGTAACGGCCTATCGGGCTGAACCAGGAGGGGAAAAAAGGAGCCCTTGGGGCGGGATCAAGGGGAGGATCCGGAAGTTATAAGGCCAAAGGAACTATGACTGTGGGGAGGGGCCAAGGTGAGGGGGCGGGATTTATGGGGGTGG